TTTTTTTTTACCTTTTTAAAAAAAAAAAAAAATTTTTTAAATTTTAAACACCCCCGGGGGTAAAAAAAAAAAAAAAAATTATATATATATATATATATATATATATATATATATATATAAAGTCCTAGGAAGGAAAAATGTGAAACTGTTGAATTGTTATAACTTCTAATTTGCCTATCAATGAGTTGAAGAGAAATTTCTTTACTTTTGTGCTGTAGCATTTTTGTGATTTTCTCTGCTTCCTGATTTGATAACACTTGATCCCTTTGATAAGCTTCTGATAAATATGTTGCTCCTGTTAAATTAGCTTTTTGGTACACCGCGTCTCATCTGCCTCAAATTAAAGAGTCTCACAAGAGAAACCATTGCACACATCCATATGTGTTCAGTTTCCCTTTGAAGCACTTTGTAAACTGAAACCAAACCATTTTAATAAGTGAGGATCTTAGGAATGTTCCATTGTATTTTTTTGGGGTGGGTCATTATCGAGCTCTTTGCCTGTCAGATCTATTTGGCTTTTGTTCTGCTTGCCTCTCACATAATTTGGCAAGCTCCAGACCACATCTCACATCATTTGGCTGTGTGATATCATACTCACTATCACTTCAATGGCTCAGTGCTCGTCACTTCATATGGCTTCATATATGTTCTTTTTTTTATTATTTTAGAATTGCCGGTACTGAACTTCATCTCGGCAATACAGTGATATGTTTACCATTTGTTGCCCAAAGAGAGGCTAACTTTTAGATGCAAGTTGTTTTCCAGATTTACTTTTTAGTCACTGGGAGATTAGGATCAGTGTGAAGGAATTTAATTCGTCACAGAAACTACACTAGCAGAAATTTGATAAAGCAAATTCTGAATCTTGCCAAAGCGTGCTTTCTGTATGTCGTCGCTGCCAAATTTCTGTACACATCCATAAAATTACTCACACAAAGGTTATTATTGACATCTTGCTTACCTCACTTTCTGATTGCATTTTTTTTTTGGCAGTTAGGAATGTCAGTAAAATTTAAGTGGGAAAGACAAACTTACCTACCTTTTGTTTTGAACTAATCAGGCTTGTGAGGCGGTGCTGCTTGTTTTATTCAGTAGTGATGGTCCACTTAACCTGTGTATATGTCAAGGGGAACTGCACACTCTTTGTGTATAGAGATACTTCTCACAAATTAAGAGATGGCAGTGCACACTAGTGCATATTCATTTGGCTTACTATTACATATACAGAAATTAAACCTGCCAGATAAATCTGATTAAATCTGTCATTTTGAGTAACTGTTCTGTCATAAAATTAGTTTCAAGTGTGCCTGAACTAAAGGTCAGGCATGGTGGCTGGCCACTCTCCTTTAGATTTTTCTCCTAAAGATCAGAATAATGGTGCCATTGCCCAAGTCTGAACATGCAAAAGGGGCATCAGATCGTCAAACTATTTATTCCTGAAGCCCTTACATATGGCTGATCAAGCTGAAATGCTTTTATTTATCAACAAATACCGTTGCAGATTTTTGCAATACAATCGTTTCGAGTTGTTTTTCCAATTACCGATGCCTAAAATGATCATGTGATATTTTATAAATACTGCAGAATTCTTAAGACTATTTGATCGTTCACAATATTTTATGGTTATTCCAAAGCATATGGAATATCCACAAAATATTCCAAAGCTTGTGCTCAGTATTGTTCAGTACTCCTGGTTGTAAGTGAACTAATCAGCTTTGAACTAATCAGCGAAAACCTAATCTATTCAGATTAGGTTTTCGCTCTGCGTCTCCAAATGGAATCAACTGACCAGTAACAAAGCGGTTGTTGATACCTGAAGGATGAATTTTTCCTTTTCATCTGGTGTCTTGGGGCCCCATGTATGGTCTTAATTATGTGCCCTTGTGTTAATCCAGTCCATCATCTACTCACATTGTATTGATTATTACATTACATCTGGCATTGTGTTTTTATTAAGAAAAAGGGAGGTTCAGGTTTCATGTGTCTGTTTATATGACTGTGTGGGATACTTCTAAACAAAAATAAAAAGTAAGGAAATCTGAGATGTCTGGGCTCCGTCCATCCCCTCGCTTGCCTTCCTTTCTCGAACTTGTTTATACTACAGTCAAAAATAGGAAACATAAAAATGTGTTCGCATTCCTCATTCTGGCTTTTCCTACCGCCTTCTGACCCAGGCAGAGGGCCCAATAACAATAAACACTCACTTCCTGCCCCAGACTGCTAAAAAGAAACAGGATGTTTGTTGTGTGCTGTAATTGACTCTCCGTGAAGTGTTAGTCGTAAGGTATGGAGGAGGATGCTAAAAACGCAGCTGTCGGGATCCTTGATGCTTCACACACATCCATGAATGAAAGTGAGGATGTACAATTTTATGCTAGCCATTTGGTAACTAATCTCTGATGTGCATACAAGCAGAGACATGCAATGGGCAATTGCTTGGTCTTGTTTTATAAGACGAAGGTAAAAACTAGTTTGGAGTATTTTGTGGTTGTAATTACAGTGTATGGACACTTGGTGGAACTATTTGTTATTTAATTCTGTTATAATTTGACTCATACCCTGGTCTTTTGTCCATTTCATTTAATAACTCTGTTACTGATAGTATGTCCGGTTTTATTCCCTCTATTTAATCAGGTTACTCCTCATTTGTTCATATATGGACATAGAGTCCGTTATATATTTTACCTGCACTATATGAAGTCCCAACTCTTAAGGCTTTCTAAACCACAAATCGCTGCTTTTCCACCAGCTGCCAGTAAATCAAGCGAAAACAAACAAACAATAAAAAAAGGAGGAAGCACAACATTAAGAAGCATTCATCTCTTCTTATTGTACTGCTCTGCTGGGGTAAAGCCTGTGAGGTATATGACATGTGAACCACATGGCATTATATGTGTTGCGTATTAAGCGCCAGATAATTAGGGACTCGGCGACATGCACAGTACAGCTGTTAAATGTTTGCACTGGGGCGTTTTAGAATGTATTAAATCTGAAACACATGATGAGTGTGGATTAGGAGGAGATGAGAAAATGAGTATGTGGGAGTGTTAGGGAGGCTTGACAGAGTGGGAAACTGAGTGTTTAATGAGGAGAAAGTGAGAACAGAGAAACTATGATTTCAAATGTAATCATTTAGATGGTCCAACAGTGCCACCTGGTGGTTAAGCACTCTTGTTAAAAAGTGATTTATTGTTGCCATTGTTTTCTGAAACCTGCTGATATTGTAGATGCATTTTAACATGTCTGGCCATAGCTTGTGAAGTTTGCCCCTTTTGTGTGTTTTAGCCTAAAGCTTGTGCTCAACATTGTTCAGTATTCCTGGTTGTAAATGACATCTTCAGGTAAGTGCAGTGGATTTAATTTGAATTTAAGATGTCATTTAACAATAGTCTATTTCTTTGTTTCTTGCTGAATATTTTAGTTATATGTTGGGGTTTTTTCCACTTTTGGCAGGACTGTTCTTAAACAGACTGAAAGGAATGAGCGTGTTAAGAATGTTTTTCAAACATTTACCAAATGCTTCTTCATGGAGCTTTCACGGTTGCAGCCTCAGGTAAGACAATTTTTATTTATTTTTTATTTATTTCTCCTTTTTAAAGAGACTCACATTGTTACTTATTATATGGCTTAATATTAGAGTCAGTAAAGCACTTTATTTTTTCTCATAGTGACAAAGATGGAAGAAAAATTAAAAAGGGGAAAGAGTAAAAAAGATTGATATTGCATTATGACAAACTAATAAGTGCAATCAGAATGAACACAAAAATCAACAATATCTGTATATCTAAACTTCTCTGCTAAAGAAAATAATGTGCAGAAGGAAATTAAATGTCCATATTTTCTTGATACTACATTCTATTTTCCCTACATGCTAGAGAATGAAGTCTGGTTGTGTGATGAAAGCCACACTATATGTTAAGCGGAAAGATTTTGGACATAATCTGTTGTAGCTAAAGCCTAGAAAAACTCAAAAATAACAGACAACAAAGCCTTGCATAATCATTGTGCAGAAGACTGTTTTTGTGAGGACGTTGCAGTTTAAGCTCCTTTTCATAATTGAAGCAAAAAATCATCTTCAATATCTAGTAACTTGAGAGAAGAGAATCTACAAAATTCAGAATGTAAGTGAAGATGATTCATTATTAAAGTAAATGAAAAAAAAAGCTTATTTTTACACCACAGGGTTAGCCGAACACCTAAGGTGGAGAACAATTTCCTGCACTCAGCAGGAAAATTCACTGCTGATGAATCTTCACCATCATTATCACTTCATCTCCAACTGAGAGCTCCACTATTCACACTACACTCCCATAGCCGACACCTCTACTCGACTGACAATGAATTCAAATGATTAATTTACACGTAAAACCTTTGTCCAGATAATCACCTGGAGTGATTGGCGAATATGCTGCCCTGGTGTGTCACTGTGTGCTTTAGCTTGAAACTTTCAGCCCTTAGCATGGTTCTGTTGCTTTATCATCCAATTAGAAGTCACGTATGACCATATTGTAATTATTTGGCACCTGCATATCATACATAAATATTAAGAGGCAGTCAGTAAATGCGGTACTCTGAAAATCCATGTACTATCTACGAAACAATTAGGTGAATGCTGTATATTTTCCATAACTTTTATCTAAGTACAAGGGTGATGCACAGTTTTAAAAAGTTATTAAAAAAATATGGAAATAGCTTATTTGTTTTCGTAGGTTTGACTAAGTATGGTAAATGTAACCATGTAGTATAGATAACTGTTTCTTTTCATATTTAATGCCTTTGTTTTTCCAGAAGCAAAAACTAAAACTGAGTTCCTAAATACTTGCTTTATTTTCTGATGCCATTCTTGTTCCTTAAATCACTTCTACACAATTTGGGTTTCATGTTTCTGGCATTAACAATTTTGGTTTCAGTTAAATTCTATCATTGGATTTGTTTTGTTTGTTTGTTTCTAGTCAACTTCAATTTCGAGTTTTGAAGTGGGTCTGAAATAGGTGCCAAAACTGTCTTATTTTTATTTTTTTTATGTGTAAATGTTACAAAATTCACAATTGAAATAATCTGAAACAGGAAAATATCAACCCTGACATGGTATGTCTGTTAATGATTTTTAATTTGAGCCCATCTAAGTTTGTGGCATTGGAAGAAAAGATGTGAAATAATCTTTTTTTTTTCTTTTTCAGACACTGTCTTTGTCACTTTTTGTGGTTTATGGAAGATACAGTTATTGGAACACAAAACTGAACTGATTATGTTTCCAATTAGTTTTTTATTACTTTTTAAAGCCTCAATAGTATTTTTTTCAACAAAACTTTTTTAAGTTTTGCCTTACAGGACATTCAAACCTCCATTCATTGTCGTCTGACTTGAAGTATTTCCATACTTTGGATTATTTTAGCCTGTGTGAATTTAAAAACCTGGCTTAATCAAGAGTGAAACAGAAATTATCTGTAGCACGCAGAAATGTTTGAAACTCTCAATGACCAACTGCATCAAGTGTCTTTTCTTTACACACACAGCAGTTTTTAGACATTTTTTATATTTTTTTTTATTAAAAAGATACATTTATTTTTTAAAGATATGTTCAGTTTACATGATTGTGTCTACTAAACATATCAGAGGCGATTGATTAGTCTTAGAGATTCCATGGACTACGAGGATAGACTGCAGCAGTTCAAATACAATGTGTTATGTGCATTTTCAAAATAAATGTATACAATTTGATTCAACTTATACAAAAAAAAATCTAAAAATGTGTAAGTGGAAAAGCCTAGATTTTTAATATTGATATTTGCGGTAGGAGCAATCAGAGCCGATGGAAGACTTATGGTGTTTGTATAGACCTCTGTTTCATTTGTTGTTGTCCAAATTTCTATTTGGAGCAATGTGACGACACATCGCTCCAACATTTGCTCCAGCATTATCACCCTACCTTTCAGGATGTCATTTGAAGGGTGCAGAAAGTGACGTGAAGTCTTATCTCCACTATTCAGTTAAAACATTTTTCCCTCTATTTCAGCCATCTGCATCTTTAAAAGCCTTCTTCCCACAGTCCCCTCCAAGTCTTCTGATTCCTCTCTTTACCATGCCTTCAGGTCAGTGTGCTCATACATCCTCACTGAGTTTGTCTGCCTTAACTCCTGGGAAAAATCCACAAAACTCTCCAGTGTGACTAATAGTGTAATAAAGTGTTATTTGGCAGTGCGTAAACAGCTTTTCTTCAAGTTTGTGTCTTTATATGTCACATACTTATACAGTAACTATTTTTGTCAGACATCGAAGTTACTATGACGTGAGGTGTCATTACTTCTCCAAGATCGATACACAGGTTTAATCATTTGCTTTGCCAGCTCATGGGCTTGATAATAGTTACACAGAGAGGCTTAACTGCATTGAGTAAGTGTTGGAGTATGAACAGCTCTATGTGGGGGAATGTGTACGGTTGAAGAGATGCAGAGTAGGTGAGTGCAGGAGTGCTGCTTATCAGTGTATGCCCAGACTGGCCCACAGGCAGGAATTATTTACGTGAATGGAGCCATTTAGGGACACACTGAAGCCCTGCCAGAAATCACAGTTAATTATTACTCTGTGTGTGTGTGTGCGCGTGTGTGTGTGTTTGTGGTGAAAGGTAATATTTCACTAGGGACTGAATAGTAATGATATTGTAAAAAGGTGAAGGATCCAAGTTTCACGCATCCTGTGTAAGTCATAAATACACAAATAGCATTGCATTCTTAATACTTACCCCAAGGAGACCCTCAGATCTTTGTTAGTTTGTTTGTCGAGCTGAAATGTCATCTTGTTGTGTGGGAAGATGTCCTTGTTACAGGAAAAGCATTTTCCCAAAATGCAGTTCCTAACTCTACTCTGGTCATCAACACAACTTGATAGCTGTTTTCTTTTCTTCTTTTTAATAACAACAGAAAAAACAATGAAACAACAAAACAAGCTGAAGACATAACATTCGAGTATCCTTGAATTTAGAGTCTCCTTAGATATGTTCAATAACAGTTCCTTCCACTACACCGTGGTAAGAAGCATCAGCTTCATTTTTAATTTTTTTTTTTTGTCGTTTTAGCCATGTTTTATTTTTTTTTTGCTCAGTCTTTGCAAACTACTTTGTGAATTTTCACTGTGAAAGCAGCAATATAAGTAATTTACTTACAATAATGAAAGAGTTGCAACTTAAACAAGAGAAATAGCATTAATTAGTCCTTTGCCACTTTATACTCCCATTTATTACCAAGCCATTGCTATTTTGTCCACTTTCAATCTGTAAACAAGTTGCAGGTTGTGTTGTAGTTAAGTTTATTCCTGTAATTGGAGATAAATTGTCTTTACAATGTTCAATAACAATTCCTTTCACTAGACCGTGGTAAGAAGCATCAGCTTCATTTTGTACTCAGAGGTGGGATACAAAGGATGTATAAATTGTAATTAAAAGTAGAAAAAAATTGCATTTCCTTTCAAAATGCAATGTGAGGGCTGTAAGCTGAATATGTTAAGTGAAAACTACAGAAGCATTTGAAGTCAACTGCAGAGGATGTGCTGAAATGTAAGAAATGGGAAGAACCAGCAGAATAAGGCAAAAGCCTGCGAAATGCACATAAAGAAAACTGTAGAAGAGAAGGGAAAACTTTCAGTCAATGCAAAAATCCCAGCCAAAGACTATTAGAAATATGTGCAGAACATTGTTTACAAAGCTAAGCAGGGTTGGAAGGAGGGTTTGAATTAGCTTTGGAAAAAGGGATGGATTTAGGTTTGTACTGAGATGTGGAAGGAGGGAAGGAATGAGGGATAGAATGAGGTTGTAGCAGATTTTTAAAAAGAAATTATGGGATGTTCTGTGCACTTCAGAGAGGCCAAAAATGATTGCAAAAAGCTGAATATTTCATAAAACACAGAAGATGTCAGTTATAAATACATAGTCTGAACGATCGGAATAAGGTAATAGTTGAATGGTTGAAATAACACATAGTATGCAGAAGTAGTTAAGTGGCAAAAAGTGTACTGGAAATAAAAAAAAAATTAGAACATTCACACTAATCGTGATCTTAGAGTAAAATTTAGTTAGACGTATTTCTCTCCTTTTTTTAAAAACACAAATAGCAATTGCATCAGTTTAATGTACGTTTTTTTTTTTCTTTCAGAGATGCCTCAGGAGAGCTTGAAAAACCACTTGATGTGGGTCAGCAGCTCATTACAGAGGCTGACTGAGGAGGAAGAAGACGACGAAGACTCAGATAGTGGCAACATCAGGTGAGAAAGAGAGACTCGACAGTGAAATGTGCTAATGTGCGTCTGCTTCCAGCAACATGTTGGAACCCTGTTCAGCATGGTGCTCCTATTTCCATTAGTTGCCATTGAGATGGTGGTTAGTCAGTAATTTCCCGTTGCATCATAGCAGAGTGGTCCTGGAGCACAGTGTGGCTTCTCCAAGCATTCATTAGAGGCCATTAGCTTTGGGGCGGGGGGGGGAAGCACATTGGAAAAAAACAGACGTTATGAAGTCCAATAAATAGTGAGAGAAGTAGTTCAGGACAAGAAGCAGGAAGAAGGTGCACACATTAAATAACATCGCCATGGAAAAAAGAAAACATGTACAGTTGTCTTGAATGAACTCATTTTTTTTTAAAGGAAGATTGGGGGCCAGGGGGTAGAGGGAACATGCTTTAAAAAAAAACAAAAAGAAAAACAGATGACGTCGTAAAGATGGAGACGGGTGACTTGATACCCTCAGGATGCGGTTTTTGAACGGGGCCTATTATCCCGCCGCCGCCGCCGCTTGAATCTGAAGCTCCATTCAAAAGTCTCTAAGCGAGCCAGCAGTGGTAAATAGTGCCTTACTGCTGCCAAGGCCCTGCAGAGGGCTGCTGCTGTTGGTATGCTGCAGCCAAGTGGAAGGGAGGATGAGGAGACAAATGATGGTATTAGAGGAAATGTGAGAATCATCTTTACTCCTCACATTGCCTTCAATGTTACAGCTGTGCAGCTCGGTGTAGTCTGCTGCAGCATTCTTAATTTCCAAATTGTTTACAATCTATTTTTGTCACAGCAGTCCATAATTATCACAGTTTTTATATTCACTCCAGCTCTGTAAATGATTTCCTCTTTTTAAAAGTCATGCATATTTAGGACACTAATATGACTGAAGAGACTTTACTCTCTTTGAAGTTTATCAGGTTTATTGCAGAGTTAGGACGCCGACCCATCCCTATGCCTGTTGAACAAAATGTTGTTTTAGCAATTTCAGTTGCATTGCCTGTGTTGACCATGACAGAGAATATGTCTGTCGCAGTGAACAAAGCAGGATGTTGTCATCATAGAAGAAGATAACATCCTGGCAGGAAGATAGTTGCAGTGGAGGTGGGTTTAATTAATTTATTTTTTGCTTGGATCCCTTTTTAGCTTATTTTTAGATTTTAAATGAAGAAAAATGGTATCGTTTACTGCTGAATCAATGTCAAAGGCTTGAATGTCATACATTTCAGATTTTGTAACTTGAACTCTTCTTTTTTTTTATGAGTTACTTAATATAGGCTGAGGTTAAGGAAGGCTGCCTCAAAACTGTTATTAGCCTGCGGTATCCGTTCTAAAGCCAATTCTGATTAGTTTCAATTGATTTTCTAGTTGGGACACTCAAAATTTTAATCATTTAACTGTTGATTTGAAGTGAAGTTGACACAGATTTGTTCACAGTACTTTTTCTTTACTCGGCCAATCACTTTTTGTGCTGCACTACCAACATTTTAAATATACATATGTTCTTATGTTAAATAATATTTAAAATATGTTAAAATAAATACAGCATGGGGGCTGCACAGTGGCGTAGCCTTGCAGCAAGAAAGTCCTGGGTTTGATTCCCAGTCCAGGGTCTTTCTGCATGGGATTTGTATATTTCCGGTTGTCGCTGGGTACTCCGGCTTCCTCCCACAGTCCAAAAACATGACTGTTAGGTTAATCACAGCTGGTGTGAGTGAGTGAGTGAGTGAGTGAGTGAGTGAGTGTGTGTGTGTGTGTGTGTGTGTGTGTGTGTGTGTGTGTGTGTGTGTGTGTGTGTGTGTGTGTGTGTGTGTGTGTGTGTGTGTGTGTGTGTGTGT